GGAGCTCAGAGGCTGGTGTTCAGTTCATTGAATCATACGCCTTTTGGACGGGGTCAAACATTCAAGGTGTCCAATCGAGCTGCCGATCACTGCCAAAACCATGAGGTTGTGCGTGTGGTTCGAACGTCTCTTCTTGGTTGGTTTGGAATCAGGGTTTTTATCCAACTCCCCTAAGTGCCAATGGTTCACGAACCCGGTTATAGCCCCCGGATGTTGGCTTTTCTTTTTCTCACTTTGGTGGGAAAACACCTCCGCCACGACAAGGCAGTTAGTGGGGCTTAGTAGAGGCTACGTGAGACGCTTCATCCTACGGGAGGAGCATTTCGCGAGGTGTAAGTAAATGGTGACCAGTCACAACCCGAGACACCCACTCCGGCCATACTGAGGCTTTCGGAGACTTGGGGTGGTGTACAACATAGGATGCGAATAAAACAAATAAATCTGGTGTTCTCGGATAAACGTTTCAACAGGAAACCGAATCACTAAGTCTTGTATGTCTTTCTCAGATAAGTTGGTGATACAGAACTTTGACAACGGGTAATGCAATTCCGTTCACCACAACAGTCCCTTTTATGTTCGCTACACACCTTCATAATCACGTAGTTGTTCTCCCTCGAGTGTTAGCTCATAATAGGGATTTTTTTGAAAAAAAATGCCATTCCGTTTGGTTTCGTCTCATCGAACTAACAGATCGTGTTGTTTAAAACGCAGCCGCGCTCGATGCAGATCATCATCATCATCAGTTTCCATGTGTCAGACTGTCCAGTTACGGTCATGGTGTTGTAGCGGATTCGCTTTTCTGTATCGATCACTTTGCTATGGATTGTTCGAAACCAGGCGTCCACAAACACAGGTACATTAGACCTATTGATGTATGGAGCGATGAACTCACTGGATGATGCTTTGTACGCATTTGCATGCAGTCACACATGTGTACGGGTGTATATATGAGTGGACATACAAGTAAACATATGCCATGCAAAGGTGATTGTGTGAGCGGAGTGCCACTTCATCGGATCTCGCGTATTCTCACTTCATCCTTCTGCTCATATATGCTTTCATCGGGCTCTCTTGAATGATGACCTGCTCTAGCTTAGGTGTGTTGCCGGTCTGAATGCTTCTAACCCCGCTGATCTGATTATGATGCTGTCTAGTCCTTGCTTTTAGACTCGATCGATATTGGTCGCCGTCTTTTTTATCGGAAGACAGTTGCATAAAATCAATTCACATCGGAAGGCTTTCCATTTGTCTGTGTGTATCAAGGAGAATCTGTCACCTCTAACCACACATGCATCACCGTCATTTTTATCATCGCGAATACCTATTAGTCAGGTATGATCAAACTGACTCCGATCGTTTCATAGATCAAATCGATCTGGTTAGCCTAGGCATATGAGTTGAATTTAGGCAGTAGCTTAAAATGTTAAACCGATTTATTCGAGCTATATTACTTTGACGATAAATTTATCTTTGAAAATCCTCTTCTCCACCCTCCACGTTAGAAGGCAGACGACCCCCTCCCTGTTTGGGCCTCAGCGTGGTTATATATATATATATATGTTGAGAGAGAGAGTTTTTATTAAACACATTAGTATGGTGGGTACAAGTTTTTTATAACACTCCTTAGTGTGATAAACAACAGGCGGGGCGAACCCCATAGTCGCGAGGACCTGTTGCTCCGTCGTGGAAACCGGTAACCGAAGCCCCGGGACTTGGAGTGGTGAACCACATAAGCCCCCGATAGGTTAGGCGTGGTATTGAACCGGACGACAGCAAAACTGTCTGCCACCAAATTTGGGTGGCGGTGGCGGGGCTTGGACTATAGGGTCCAAAGTACGACAGTGATAGTGACCAAACCACTGCGCCACCACCTGATTGCGATTTGTCTCTTATGTGTCTTTAGGGTCATAATGGTATTGGAACCAGTAACTTTCTCAAGAGAACCACATCCTCGTAACGCAAGTAATGCATACATCGTTTACGTGTTTAGACTATTTTGAAAAGTATTCATTAATGTATTCCTCTCCTGTTTTTATCTGTCTTGCTGATCGATTGTAATGTGCTGTTGACCGATTGTACACTTGCTTCTGTTCACATCGATTCACTCTTCAATTTGGAAGGCAAAAGCTCTGCGATAGCCCCGGGTCAGCGACAAGGCTGTGTAGACATCGGTGAAGCGTGCGT